ACAGAACTGGTAATGATTTCAAACGTAATATCAATATCTTTGCATATTTTTCTTTTTCTGAGCAGAATTTTTTGAAATTTTTATGCTATGATAATACAAATAGAAAAATCTCAAAAGATTAGTCTTGTAGATCAAATTAGTAGAAATGAAATCTTGTCCATGAGATCTATTCAAAACTTACTGTTTTTCAAAAAACAAAACAAAAATATCGACGGGAGGAAACTTCAGTGTATTATTCTATGGCCAAAAACTAATTTTTAATTCTATTTCCGACTGATGAATCGCTTTTAAGTCGAAGCTATGTGCATCCTAATGAGTAATAAGTACCTTGAAAAGAGTTCGTATCCTTAATGTATTTTTGGGAAGATATTTTTAAGTCAATGCTGTGGCCTCGCTCAAGAATACAAAGAAAATTAAATTTGGACTTTAAATTTTGTATAGAGACAAGTCTTAATCAGAATAGTTTATTGGCAGAGTTTAAGATCTATTCATTGCTCTTATCCTAAGACATCATTTATATCTGTAGTACATTCGATCCTCTTATTTCAAGAAAGGCCTAAATCAAAAGACTTGAGATTTTCACAATGAACTATTCTCATCAAGATCTATCTCGGTGAAAAGTTTTAAGTCAAAATTCAAAAATTAGTTTTCGTTATCCTCCTGAAGGGGACCATAACATTTACTTACAAAAAATTCTTTTCATAGCAATAACCTAACGGTCGGAACTCTTATCAAGGTATTCTTAACTCATTAGGATTCATATAATCTCGACTCAAAAGCGATTTATTAGTTGAATACCTTCGTTCATATGTATGAAAGAAAAGTACCAACCAAAAAAATCCCAGATAATCAATATTTTAGTGCTTGATTACTAGACAAAGAAAAATTTCATTTAGTACTTATGACTAATTTGAAAACGATATGTCTATATGTTGACATACAAACAAGAACGTTTCTACTCTTTTACTTGAAAATTATTTTCATACATAAACTTACTTGTAATGATCTGGTACAGAAGAATTTTCTAATATTCAATAGAACTATAGAAAGTGTTTAAAGCACAGGTCAAAATAGTCTTTATTTCAGAAAATTAATATCAGCTGAATGATCAGACAAAAAATTCTAGATTATAAAGTTTTCTTGAAGCATAAGAATGAATTTGTTATTTTTTAATATGATATCGAAATCTTTTAATACCTTGATAAAGTAATAAATTCATTGATACGAAATGCACTTTTCATTGAATTGAAAATAACATGTTTTTTTTCATTACCTAGTTTATTTCACTGATTTCTTCTCTATTTGTAATCGTTAATTCAGTCATTCAATTTTCTATTGAATACAATACAATAAGAAACGAGACCTATGATGAACGACGTAATAGCAAATAAATAGAAACAAAAAATAATAATAAAATTCTAAATCTAATCTTATTATAAAAAAAAGTAACCATTCAATGAATTTTCTTTAATCATGCATGATGAGATGTTTTGAAAAATCTTTTTTTTTGACACAAAGAAGATGTTTTTTGAACTTTATTTTATTAAAGTGAAATCTTTTTTTCTACTGTTCTGCTACTTATTTTTTTCAATAATGTCATCTATAAAAGAATAGTGAAATAATTCTTTAGTTTTTTTTTACAACATCGAAAGATTGACTATTTTTGTCTATAGTCATTTTGACTCTCATTTTATAAAGAATAGACTCATAATGACAGGTAAGTTTTCGATTTTTGATTTGAACTAATTTTCAGTTCTGCTTGAAAATTTTCGACCATGTTGGATTATCTTAATGGAAAACAAATATGATTAATATTAGAAAGGAATTTATTCGTAATAATCAAAGGTTTTCATCTTAAGAACTTTTTGTTATAAAGATAATTCTTGATTTATTGAAGCAAAATTATTGATGATTTTATTCACAGTTGCGTATTGTATTGCTCACATTTGAATTGATAACGATTTAATATTTAAAATTAAATTGAAGTTATTGTTAATCTTTTCCATATATGAATCAGAGTTTCAGGCAGAACAAGACGAGACTAGTCTTCGATTTGGATGTGCAGTTGAAAGTTTTTTCTCAATTAAATCCTAGCAGAGTTGACAGACAATTGAGTGTTGTACAGTTCTGGACAAAAACTGTTCTCCTCCCTCAGATTTCAGTTAACATAATAACAAGAAGTTTGAAAATTTCTGTGTGCATACTTTGTTAGAGATGTAGACCAGCGACGCCATATAGATCTCGTCTACTATAAGATTTATAACCTTAAATAAACTGACTATTAAAGTTTATCTGTTTTCTTATCAAATACAAGATTAATTTTGAATATTTTCACAAGGGATTTGAACCCAATATATAATCTTTATTAATTCAAAAGAAAAGTTTGTTTGCTCGAAAATTAGTATTTCTTAATTCTCGACAGTACCAAGATGAGTATCGCTGTAATGTAATATCTTATTCTGAAATTTACACAAAACAATGTCAAGATATGAAGAGTATTTCTATAAAAGTTTGCAATGAATTTATTGAGCTATCACTGACTTATGAGTCTTGAAAGTGACAATCGATGGTTTTTTGCACGATGATGATTGGAGAGTAAAACAATCACAATTCTAAAAGAGTTTGACGAATCTTTATGAAATTTATATGCTACATAGCTGAAACATAAAACTATATGATGATCGGCTAGTCGCCCAACAATACCTTTACTCTCCAGAGTTATGAAGCTCAACAGTAAAAGTGGACAATATATATCATAATTCAGTATCTGCCCAATCAAGCTGGTTGTGATTAATTCCATTGATCTATATTCATGATGGAATATAGGCACACAAATTTTTAGAGCTCTATTCCTTATCGTAACTGAGAGCCTACAGAGGAAAGATTGTTGTGCAAGGGTGTACTTGAACATTAATCTGAGTATACTATGTGTTTTTTCTGTTTTTTTTTCGCTTTGTATTTTTACAGTCGATGCCGCCAATTTAGTATGGGTGTTAATTTCAACCATGCTTGTTTGGATCATGATATCTGGTACCGGTCTGTATTATTCGGGCATGACAAATCGTAAGAGTGCTCTTTCTCTCTTATGGTTAAGTCTAATGTCTGTTGCTGTTACTTCAATTCAGGTTTGTATATAGTTTCATAATCTCTCATCATGTCTTGAGTTCAGAATATAAGAAAATAATTTTGAGGAATTGAATATGCAAGTTGCAAACAATTTTGATCTACTTGTATCATGTAAATCTAAATCAATTTTGAATGTTCAAAAAATAGTTCGTGCTCATAGCTTATTGTAACGTAAATACTGCACTTTTACAGTAATTTACGGTTTCTCATACGGGAGATTTTCTTATTAGAATGATTTGCATAATAAGAAATATTATTACTATTTTCAGTCGTATAATTTAATATCGTTTTAGTGGTTTCTATTTGGTTATTCATTGAGTTTCAGTCGATCAGGATCACTATTCATTGGTGACTTGGCTCATATTGCTATGAAAAATATTCTAAACGAACCAGCGAGTGGTACAATAACGATAACAGCTATTGCTTTTTGTTTATTTCAACTTATGTTTGCTGCGGCAGCAACAACAAGTATAAGAGAATAATACATTTTCATGTTTATACATCTAAGATAAATGCTCATTGTTTTTAGTTGTGATTGGTGCAGTATCTGATCGTAGTCGTATGTGGCCAACAATTACTTTTGCTTTCATTTGGTGTACACTTTTCTATAACTTTATATCATATTGGATTTGGTCACCTAATGGTTGGGCTCATGTACTTGGTTCATTAGATCATGCTGGTGGTGTACCAATTCATATATCAGCTGGCACATCAGCTCTTGCCTATAGTCTTGTATTTGGTACACGTCAAACACTTACGAATGCGCAACAAAATAAACCACATAATATAAATAATTTATTTATTGGTACGCTATTGACCTGGTTTGGTTTTAAGGGGAGTAGTGGATTAGTTATTAGTAGCCGCACAGTAATGGTTTGTATTGTAACCAATCTAGCAGCATGTACTGGGGATATAACTTGGTCTATGCTTGATTATTATCTTTCACATCCAAAATATAAATTTTCTCTTGTCGGATTTTGTTTTGGCACCATGGCTGAACTTGTTTGTAGTACACCTGGATCAGGATTTATTAGTATACGTGTATCTGTCTTGTTTGGTATTTGTGGTAGTATATGTGTCTATTTTGGACGAAAGGTTAAAAAAATTTTTCAAATCGATGATGCATTTGATATTTTTGCACAACATGGAATTGAAGGTTTTACTGGCTGTATATTTACAGGTATATTTGCACAAAAATCTATTCCAGAACTTGATCTAGTTAGTATTCGTGGTGGATGGTTAGATGGTTATTGGATGCAAGTTATTTATCAACTAGCTTTTGCGTGTAAGTTTTTGTATAGAAAAACAGCTGTTAACACAATTTCTGCTGAATTAAAGTATCAAACGCGATGTAGTTACTTTTGCTAATCACACAAACATTGGCTTCTACTATCAATTTAGGAACACATTTTCTCACCATGTGCGTACTAAATCCACTAGAAATAGAATAAGGAAATAGTTCATATAAAGAGAATGAGATGTTATTGATATACGGTTGATGATCGTATATTAAAAAATGTTTGTGATGTAGTGTCTTGAACGGGTACAACTTTTTGCAACAGGATCCTGATAGCTATATTCAGTTATGAACTAGAGCTAATGGACATTCGGCAGATACTTTCACATTAGACACGTTTACACTCGAATCTATAGTCTCGGCCGGTCCGGGTACTCGGTCCGGTTACAAAAGACTATTGTGAGAAAAAGTCCTAAGTTCTATTCTTGTACTTCAGTCCTCCTTGTAAATTATGTTCAGCAAGAAAACAATGTATCATCTATTTTTTGTACAATATTGTTTTAGCGGCTGGTTTTGTTTGGAGTTTTGTTGTTACTTTAATTATTTTATTGGTTATGAATAATATTCCTGGTTTATCATTGCGTACAGCACTAAAAGATGAAATAGAAGGAATTAATTATGATCAATTCAATGAATATACGCACGATTATATTGAATTACAACGAGATCTTAATCCGAGATTGTATTCAAAACGATCACCGGCCAACAGACTAGTGATAGAAAAAAGAACTGACCTTATGCATGTAACACAACAACAACATGATACCAGACTTGGAAAACTTAAACCTATTTCTGTGATCACTAATGCATGGTGAAATGACATAATTGTATCTATCAATAAATAATAAGCATACAGTTATCTTGTATAATACTAATTTTAATTTTATTTTGAAATAAAATGTTCTTATTTTAAATATAAAAATTGTGACAATACTCCATATAGTATTATATAAATGAGAAAAGTTTAACTAAAAGTTCAAATAAAACCCAATACTAATATCAGCATAGAAAAAAAAATTTCGAAAAAAAAATCTCACAAGAACATCAGATTTCAATATTTGATTCAAGGTTTGATAGTAGTCATGCCAATGAGATGAAATCATTATCAATGCATGAAAATACATTGATGAAGTCAATATCACTCACAAGAAAATTCGTATAGGAAGATACTATCAACAGATTTAACAAAGCGAAAATTAACTTTTTTTCTTTAAACATCTGCGAGTGATTTTGATAAACCCTTCAACTTTGAAATGTATCAAGAACGAAACTTTATTTTCAAAAGTAGAACTATTATCCATTTTAAAAACAAATGCCAATATTTGTTTTTCGAATAACTTGTGATAGGATAACCACGAACAGATACCGTACAACACATGGCTCGAAAACTATGGACTTTTTAGAGTACGGATTACTAGAACGGTTACTATGAACAATATAATCGATGTTCTGAAACATCATACATATATATGTATTTCGTGTTGAAGTTTTGTCTTTGATACGAACATTTGCCGAAGCGATTGTTCCTTAGCTGATAAGTCAAAAATTGTTTCATTGGCATTGATATTATAAAAATATGTTAAACAAATCAAATGTACAACCAAGAGATATAGTCCATTTCTTCAAAAAAGAGTATCTCTTTTAATCGATATCTTCATTGGTACTCAAAAAATTATAGTTTTGCTGTATCACTTTCTATATTGAGAAAATCATAAATTTATGTGAAAATAAAAGCCTGTTAATAAAATGTGATTCCTGAATTATCCGCAAATAGATATTTCTACATCGATATACACAACACATTACTAACAGTTTGTCATATTTTCAAAAAGGCGACAAAGATCACTTGAACACAGAAATCTTTAAATTTAAAAATGATTCATTCGAGCATTTTCTCTTTGTGTTGGAACATTATATGCCAACAATCGAATAAAAAAACTCTCTTAACCCTTCGTGGTTGTCGTGGGGTCCGCGCGGACCCATTTCACAGTTTTTTATTTAATACTACATCAAGAGCTTCTGTTTCTGGCCAGTCTCCTTATCTAATCTCTAGTCCTATGTTGGTCTACAACATCCTTATTAGAAATCAACGATAAGCCTAACAGATGAAAAATGCAGCTGTGGGTCCGGATGGATCCTACGACAACTATGCTGTTACCAGCACATTTTTCGTCTTGATAAAGCTGTCATCTGTTGATTCATAATTTTTTTTAAATGATTTACTTTGGTTGGCTTATATGTTACGTACGTTTTTAAAGCAGTTGAGCAAAAGTCTGACAGATGCACAAAATCGTCGCCGTAGTCAAGAAGTTCGGCTTATGCCCTAAGTCAAACTGGCGTTGCTCTCACTAGGTTATCAGGTTCACTCAGAGAGCATCAAAGATGTTAGCCAAAACATCCAAATTCATCAAGCCAAAAAAGGTGTTTCCTATGTCCAGCTCAACCAGGATGAAAAGTTCGACAAACATGTTCCAGCTGTGGTCAAAATGTTTGTTTGTCTCATTCCAACAGTGTCACAACAGTAACTTGTCAAACATGCATGGAAAAACATTAGAGTATACTTTGCATTTATGAAAAAAAGATTTATATACAAACAATATCATCAGTTTGATAAAAAAAACTGAGTTTTTATTGCTTTTTCTAATAATAAAGAGAAAGATAAAAGTAGCTATAGTTCAAAAAGAAAAGTTTCTTGCTTTCTCAATTGTACAATTGATTATATATATAACAACGTACGCGTAGAATCCTATCATCTAGACTAGATTGATATATTCTATGCTTTTCCCAGCTATTATCAATGTTGCTACAAAAACGATTAGAGAAAGTAATTTTTTGCGATATCATACATCTTTACATTGTTTTCACGAGAGCTGACTTATTAGTTTTTATAAAGAAAGATCTTCACCTCTTCATATAAGTCAAATGAAACGCTTGAAGAAAGGAAAAAATCGTTTTTTTTGTAATTTTCTATAGGTGGGTCCAGGCGGACCCCAGGACAACTACGAAGTACAAAAATCAGGACAACCACGAAGGGTTAATTGTGAAATCTTACAGTGATAAATGTCAACAAGACATAAACTTGAAAAACAACAGTAAATTATTAGTATTCAAATATGATATAGAAATGTCACAAATTAATTGATTTCATATCGAAGTAGTGGGCAGTAAAATTGGAAAAAAACATGCTAAACATTTTTCTAACAATGCATCTCTATTTTTTCTGTATTTGCTTATTATCATATTTGTTTCAAATTATGAAAAATATTTTTCCGATGCAACGTTAATTTCGATCATATATTTTCATAATATCATTGTCGATGAATCGATTTTTTAACCCTATAGTTATCTGACAATAGATTCGGCCAATGTTCGTATCGAAGTGATAATTGCGACACGACATATACATATGAGAGAGGAACCGACATTGGAATAAATCGATTTTCATTTTTACAAGAAGCAATAAGCAACTGTCATATCTGCTCGCTCATAATTTATATTCTTTTGGTTCTAAGTATCATGATTCTTCTTGTTTATATACCTATCCAAAATTTTGATTGATATTCTACATGATATGAATTCTTATCTGAAAATATAAGCATTTTATCATAATCATATCAAGTTGAAAGTCAAGAATTAATTCAGAATCTAAGTATACCTTGAACAATGAAAATGCACATGAGTCAGATCACTGACAAAACGACAACAAAATATAATAATCACATTTATGATCGTCTCATATACATTGCATCAAATATAATCATATCTAAAATATAAATGAAAATGTCATATTGAGTATATAAAATTAGTTTTGGATAAACCACACATATTTTGTCTCTTATCACATTATCCTAGTAAGTGAGAGAATCAAGATTCATGCATTCTTGATTGCTCGTACAAGTATCTTCAAGGGAAAAGTCATTCTTCTTTCAGGGTATTTAATAGACTTATCATTAGCTTCACAAATACTAGCGTGAAGACTGATAGAATGATATTCATCTACTTTAGTTGAAAATCATAGACATGTTATAAATCGAGCCCATGTTATTGTTCTATCATTAAATAATACTTTAACTATTTCATGGTCAATATGATGGAGATCGATTATTGATGATGAAAAATGAAAATTAAACATTGGTTGTTGCGAACAATAAGTTGTGGGTATGGCTGCACTGATGTAGTTGACGAGAAGAATCATGCCCAGAGCCACATCCAACATCCACACCCACATCCCGATGATTATTTTACGATCATTAGTTGCTAATTAAAACAGTAACGATTTATTCGTTTGGTTTTATGTGAATTTTATATGAATCAAGATAATCTTATGACTAATTATGGAGAAAGCACTTATTTAGTTATTGACTTCATTTAGAAAAGATGCAATGGTTAAGTTTCAAGGGAATATTGAAGATTTTCTTTTGTTGCAAAATTTGATGGAAATATGATAGAAGCGGATGAAAGAGTTTTTGATTTTATTTTATGATAGATTTAGGAAGAAAATGAAATTATGTGGTTGTTTAAAAATAGATTGAAAAATTTATATGGAATATACTCAATATACCATTATCAGTATTCATATGAAAATGTTGAATTCGATGTTCATTATAATACTTGATACATTTATTTGATAAAATATACATTCAATAAAACGATTAAAAATATAAATATTATTTAAATTTTTAATTCCTATTCGTAATAATTTGATAAATAGGTTAAATTCATTGAATAATATCGAATAAGCATTATTGAAGTCCAACACATTTGAGAATATTTCGTCAGACATTTGGTTAGAGTAGAGATAAGAGGCTTTTTATTGAAATAATTAATGCAATAAAATTTATGATTTAATTGAAATCTAATAAAAAATGATCTATTCTGTGTAATATGTTTCTGACTTTGTTTATTTTCAATTCAGAATACACATACAAATAAATACATAAACAACACTCTCCGATGAGAATATATATTTGTATATAGATATAGAGAAAAGAAGGAAAAGAGAAAGGTATATGACAAAAAATAATGCATAGCCTTGTGTGTGATTACGGATTACAGCATTCTTTTCTTTTACACGAAAAAAAACGATGTTTCATCTATCGTTTTATTTGTTTTTTCTTGGTTAGAAAGAAATAACAAACGAAACGAGAGTGAACAAATAACAGAGATAAAGAAAAAGAGCGAATAAAATTACAGAACAAAAACGTGAAAAAAACAATTCTTGTGGTACAACACATTGCTGTCAGAAATCCATAAAAGAGTACTTGAATTTTTAAAGATATATACATATGAGAAGACGGATTTAGTAGATGCTCTCCAATAAATGTAAGTTGAATAGGTAAAGTGGATGGTTTAATGTGTAACAAGAAATAGATTCTTAACAATTGTTTCGTCAAGTACAGCACCAATTGGAAGGAAATCGAAAATCATTTGCTAGATAAAATAATCGAATATAAATAATAATACCTGAAATATGATAAAGCTGTTTGAAAAAAATTAAATAAAGTGATTTGAGTTTAGTATTAGATAATACAATTATTTTGAAAAGTAATAAATGACAATAAAGAATATCACAATTATCAACTTCGTCATACCAATGAATATTTACTCCTCAGTTTCATAATAAATATAAGGTCATCTTGTCCAGCAAGAATAGTCTTATAAATAATGATGAATCTATAAAAACACAGTGATTAAACACACATAAAAAAATTCAATAGCATTATATGTCCAAGTATTGCTCATAAAATACTCCAAGATGTAAATAAATAAAATTAAGTACTAAAATGAATCAGTAATGATCTTAAGTGATTAGTAT